CGCCTGCGCTGCCCAAAAAGTGAGGCAATAACATTTTTGCCCATGTCTGCGTGCGCCCTGTTTGTCCGTTTGCAAAATATCTCATGAACCACTGAATATATCTTATTGAAATTTTCAGGAAATATAAATTTTTTGTTTGTTTGGAACCGATGATGCCACAGCCAGTTCACCTTAAAAAACACAAAAATGACTAAATGTCTATTTTACAGGTACTAATGTGGTAGTGGTTATGAGTTGTTCATGACACACACTACTGAGCATGTCATACAATATCACATTATGTGCATAATGTTAATTTCAAGATTTAGCCAAAACGGCTGCAACTAAACACACGATTGTTGTCTAAAACTGACACTAAAGGTGGTGGGCGAAATGTATTCCTTCAAGGAATTACCAGGCCTTTATTCTAATTTATTTTCAGTTATTACAATCAAAGATAAATCTAGGTGTAGCTGCCAGAGAAAAAATCAAAATCAGCTACTAATAAAAAGAAAGGCTGTGATTTTTTTTCAAGATTCATCTTTTATTCCTTTGGATAAAACGCTTCATTTCACATTGACATTTTGTTTGTTCATCTAAAACACACCTTTTTGAACACCTAGATCACACGTGACCAAAACACAGCAATCCTACAGTTTTCTTTTTTTTATTGGTAAAAGCTTGTGAGGGGAAAAAAGCTTTTAAAGCCATAGAAGAGCTGACCCTTTCAATGCTTTTCTGCTTCATAAAAATGAAAAGAGAAAAGCCAAAAAGCAGTGTGTTCCTGTATTATGTGCTTTAAAGGGATAGTCTGGTCAACTTTAAAGTGGTGTTGGGGCTTATCAATAGCAAGAAGCTTATCAGTCGTGTGGAATTAAGGATAGTCTTCCTGCTAGGTTAATGACTAGCCAAACAAGTGCCAGTTTGTTTATCAGGCTAATGCAATGACTCTTCTAAAATCTACCTTTATAAGAGACATTACTAAAATTAACCCTGTACACTTGCCAGTTTGACTAAAGGCTGGTCAAACTGGGGACAATTCTGGGTGGAGTTTGCATGTTCTCTCTGTGCATGCAAAGGTTTTATCTGGGTATTTCAGTTTCCTCCCACAGACCAAAAACACGAATGT